CAGCTGAGCAATGGGCACTGACCCCGCCCCTCGACACTTGATGGGGTCCAGGGCGGCTTTTAAAGAAGTATTTCATGCTTTAGGATGTGAACTCCTCTTAAGTATAAATGAAATGTATAGACATTCATAAAAAGAAATACATTACATCTGTTAGTTTTCAGCCTGTTTTCATCAGTATTTAGGGCCCACCATTGTATGATAGTAACGTATACAGCAAATATACATTACAAACTTTTAAAATGTACAGAGCAAGTCCTCCAGGAATAAATCATTTAAGACTATTTAACTAATAAATAATAATACTAATAAATAATTTAAGACCATTATTGATGAAAAAATACAAATATAACATTTAGCTTTAGATAACAGCTCACTAATTGCTGCAGAAGTGGATCTTGTGTGAAGTTTGTAATATTATATTTTAGGAATTATATCATGAGGAATATTAAACAAAAGACAATTTTGCATAATATCTGTTAAGTAAGTAGGTTACCTAAAAAGGCTGATATTTTGTATCATAATTACGTATTTGTTGATACCTTCCACCACTAGGAAAGGTGTGAGCTTTGCCTGAGTGAATGCATTCACTGCGTTCTCTCAGGCGTGAAAGCATTTTACGAGTATGGAATGCATCTATGATTGAGTCGGTTCTTTCACTAAAAGTTTGAGAAGATGTCTTTTTCTTCCTTCAGCTGCAGTGTGTCTCTGAAATGGAAGATTTCTATAATATTTTCACGTTGTAATTACCACACAACAGAATGAGGAAGAATGACGATGATGAGATATGCTGTGCCATATGGTCAGGCTTAGACAAACACAAACTCACATTTAAATTACTTTTCTCTGCTGTCTGAATGTGACAAAGTGGTTCATTAACAAAAGAGATCCAAGAATATTTACCATTATCTACGTTGCAAATGTCAGAGTAAATATATATTTGGACCTTTCCTCGGCCTTCACCAAGCCATATAACACAGGCCCTAGGTGGCCTTACAGAGCGGCCAACTGACAAATGCATTAAAACACTGAGTATGGAATATCAAGGTATTACATACTTTAGATGAAATGCCAGAGAAGTGATGCTGTGACAAAGATGGAATGAGGAATGTACGAGTTGGGGAGAGAACAGGTGTATGTGTGACCTGGCTGGTAGAGCTGATGCATGTGGGCTGAGGTGGTCTGGGCAGAGAATCGATGAAGAGAGTGATGAATATTTGCTTGGGTGGTAGTTGACCAAGAGTTAGGCCAAGCTATGGATGGAATGTGAGAGGTGTGACAGTGGAGGGAATATAGGGAAGCATCGAGAGTGATTGCGAATGATTTTACCCGACGAGTCCCTGCCTGGGCGACAGTAGCTCAGTTGGTAGAGCATTGGCCTTAAGGCCAGAAGGTCGTGGGTTCAATCCCCACCTCTGCACCTTCCCCACCGACTCCCACTGATGACTGCTGTCGTTGTGTCATTGGGCAAGACACTTAACCCCACTTTGCCCAAAAGGGCCTCACATCAGATTCCAAAGTGTGTTCTGGGGGGTATGGGCTTTTGTTGCATGATTCAAAATTTGACCAGAAAGGAAGACCAAGAAATCCAATCCGTCCAAATAACATTTATTTCTCTTTACAATTAAATACTAATAAAAAACTCTTTAAACTCCTCTTTCCCTTCCTATCCCAAGAGCTGAGTCAATCTTACGGGCCGTCTATCCCACACTCTGTGTTCCCTTCGTCAACCTGTATTCACTTTGAAATATCACACTTGATGTATGAAGTATTTGTATGTAGGTATTACTGATGTATACACAAAGACAATAAAATAAATGGTGTGTTAAACAAGGACAGCAGTGAAAAAGTTGTTTTGTTTTGACCCGTGTCAAATGTTCACCACAGAGAAGAATGTGTCACAAAGTTCAAAACTTTGGTGTAGACTGCCCCTAAAGTCATGCCCTGGATGTTCCTGAAGTTTCTCTGCCGTTATAAAAGGCAGTGTCCAGCGTGTCACATCATTAAGAAGCATCACAGAGGACAGTTTGGAAAAGGACTTTATTGAAGAGAGTCTTGGAGGACATTCTTTGTGTCATTCTTGTTTGCTTCTGTATCGAGGCTTAAAGAAAATGGCACCGTTCCCGCTACTGCCACCGGAACACAGCGACTGCAAGAGATGGATCGCACCCCCGCTTCATTCATCCTCATACGATAGTGCTTTTTGCCAGGGGAGGAGATGAGCTTGCGGTTCCATTTCCTAATTGTATACAGTCCGTGTTCCGTGGTACTGTCCGCTTCATCTAACTCCAGCGGCAGAATGGCGTTGTTTGGGAGTGAGCCGTTTGCGAGCTCCATCTATCTCCATGCGCAGATAATGCTTTTAATTAAAGTCGTGGGCTGATCCCAAACCAGCCGGGAGGCCTTTTGTATTCTGCAGCAGTGCCGTCAGCGTGTCCTTGGCTCTGTGAAAAGCCCCGGTATCGACTCTCCCATCGCTAACACGCTAAAGCCGTGGTCTGTGAGGCTCATGCTGATGCTTTGCTCAGGGGCCGGGGCCAAAGCAGAGCAATGCTGAGGTGGGAGGCTGGTTGTAACGCAAGGTCACAGTAAAGTGCAAAAAGTCACTCAAGTTGTCAAGGCTAACCTAACTTTCAACAATGTGAACTAATCTCACTAGTTACTATCTCTGCACGTTGGTGTGTAGAGAGTGGATCGCACTCCCGCTTCTCACCAAGAAGGTCCTGAGTTCGAATCCCAGTCGGAACAGGGCCTTTCTGATGGGAGTTTGCATGTTCTTCCTGCGTCTGCCACTAAAATCAAGCACAATAGGTAAATCCTTCAGCTCTGGTCCTGACTAAGCCGAGCATCAACATCTGGAGATTGGTTCCCAGGCGCTGTTACTACGGCGACCACTGCTCCTGACAGAGGTCCAAGGCTGTCCAGGTCAAACGTTACGGTGATAATCAAAGTGCACATTTACATTATCTCTCAAATACAATTTGGTTCTACCTCTAGCTTTCACATGTATGTATTTTTGATCTCTAACACATCTTTTATAGTGAAAAATATAGGACCACCCCATGATATTTTACTGTTACTTTTCTACTGTTTTCTTTAACTGTTTCAAGAAGATTTTGTCTGTGATTAATTAGTGACAGATGTGTCTGCTTCATCCAACTTCTTTTCATTTTCAGAACATGTACAAAAAATAGACACACATAAATTATAAGTTTTATCCATGTTCCATCTTTGTTCTGCAATGAAGAAACATGCTCCTCACCACATCTGTGTGCTTTGTTTTTAATGTACCTTTTGTTCCTAATGAGGTTGTGCCATTGTATATGTTATTAACAGTAGAATAATATCCCACTTCTGCCATTATTGCCTGTTCTAGTCATCTCCGTTTTGTATTTATTCATTTCTGTTCTGACATGTAACCACTATTATTGTTTATATAATTACTTATTATGTGTAAATGTTGTGTGCATCCAAAATGTTGCAACATCTGAGATTTCTCAAAACTCCAGGGGTCGAACTGCCACATATTTTGGATTTAGTGGAGCATTCTGGGAAACAAATATCTCCCTCCATGCTGATCTAGATTCTTGAAAGAAAGAAAAACAACTTGAATCAAAGTTTGTGGCAGACATGGTGAATGTCGTGGGGATAAGATCAAAGATGATACAGTTTATGGTGAGGGTTGTTTCATTTTGATAACCAACATTATTTGAAGGGATTTTGCTGTAATGTGGTGTCAGTCCAACTGTAGAACTCTAGTGCAGTGTTCCCCAACCTTTTTGAGCCGTGGCACACCTTTGTCACTGAAAAAGTGCACTAAAGGACAACTTAAAAAAATAAATAAACTGTCCCCACTCAATGTTCGCTTCTTTAAAGAGCTCTGACTCGGCAAATAACATAATAATAACAATACACGGCTATAATTGTGTTGCCCCGCTGCCTTCTTCATTATTATTATTTCTTATCATCATGTATTTTTTGTGATTTCTTTATTTTTTTAATTTATGTTTTTAATTTATTTATTTACTTTTATTTTCTTCTTTTATGTATACATTTGGTTTTTATTTTTTTATTATTAACATAAAAAATATTAATATAATATTAATTTATTTTTGCTTATTTTCTTCTCTCATGGCATCTTATTTATTTTTATTTTGTTATAACTGTAATCATACTGACTGTAAAACGCTTATTAATTAGTGTCTGACTGCGAAAGAAAACCAATAAATTATAAATTACAAAAAAAATTATCCGAGCAATAAATATAACAGTAACAATAATACTTTTTTATGTCATTGTTTTATTTTAGTAGAAAGTTTTGGAGTAAATCCAGTGCGGCTCATTCCCGTTTATCCAGACAGTATCTCAAACTGTGTTCTTTTGCAGAAATTTATGACCCTTTATCGTAAATTATGGATTTGCGTCTGAATTATGAATGAGCCGCTCGCAACTCACTCCGAGCCTTTGGAATTTATGTTTTGATTCTGAAACGTACACATCATTTTCAGTCCAATGTCAGTTCAATATTGGATTAATAACTTCTGTGCGTCTGGATAAATTGCAGAGCTGTCGTCTCATTGAGGGTGAACTTGGGTCAATCCACTTCAGGCTTTTATGTTGATTATTAATGAAAACTTTACAATATTGCAAAAAATCTCTTTGGTATAAATAGTGTTTTAATGTCCGGGCTGTTAAACGGACCTGCAACATTAAAACTTCCACTTGGTGTGAAAACTTTGTCGACATTACTTTTATTTCAGTTTTGAGCCTATAAATACATTACAAAAATAGGTGTAAATTATTGAACAAAACTCCTCATTGTACATTGTTATGGAATAAAGGACACAGTATATCTATGTAAATAATTACAAATGGATTCTCTGAGATGTCGGCGAATGGAGTACTTTGTAACGTCCTGCGAGACGACTGCTGTTGTGATTTAGGGCGATACAAAAATACATTTGATTGAACTAATCTTTAATCTGACTTGTGTGTGTTTGCAGGATGAGGGGTTGCTGCTGCTCTCTAGTCCCAAGATGTTGCTCCCTCCAATGGGTTCAGGTCCTCCAGAGGTGCCCCTGTCTGTGCACCACCGCCTGCAGCTCCTCCAGCAGCAGCTGCAGCAGCAGCAGCAGCAGACACATGTGGCTGTAGCTCAGGTGAGGCGCAGATTCAAATCAATCCTTTATCACATGATCAAAATGAAAGAACACCCCCAGCTCATGGAGGACATGTGAAAAACATGTTTAGGTTTGATTTATGTAAATACAACCAACAATTAACCAACAATTAACCAAGACTAAATCCAGGATATAGATGGAAACCAAATCTGCACAGATGTGGGAAAAGGGAGGCAGACCAGGAAAAAAAAGCAATGCACATTAACAATGTATAATTATGAACAACACCACAAAATTAGTTGGACACTTCCATTTAGAGCTTCATTTTTTCCTGAAACAAATTATTAACAAATTATAAGAAAAATAATACTACACACATTAATATCTGTAACTCAATAATGATACGTTATATTTAACTTACTTACCCCCAGCGTGGAGCATCTGACAAACTCACTGACGAGAAAACGTGTGTCGAGCCTCGTTTAATGTGCAAAAACAAGCTAAAGATCAGAAAAAAGAACAGTTCTAATTTCATTTTGACACAGTTGATGAGAGTTTGGAGTGAATACAGTGTTTCCAGTGTTCTTCTCCTCCCTCTGTGCGATCTCTCTCCTTTCTTTACTTGTCAGAGCTATATTTCCACCGCACGCTCCATTGAGCCCATCTCTGTTATCTATATTTTACAAAAGCACTTCTAAAGATGTTCTTATCCTGCCTGATCCAAGTAAGCCATTTCCACAGATTTGTAACTGAGACAAAGTGCAAGTGTGTGAGGCTCTACTGAAGGACACTGTTTATGAGTCAAAGCAGACTGTGGACTTCTTTGTTCTGTCCTCTTTATGTTTTGTCAATATGCTTTATAGAGACATAAAAATAAAGGAACGTGTCCTTTTACTTTCTCTCTCTGCCCTGTAGCTGCTCTGCTTCATCTCATTTATCCGACCAGTCTCTTTGGTTGTGTCTAATCTGTCTGTACCAGGGCAACTCAACTTTCCCCTTTCAGCTTTTGAAAGGCCACGTGTCGCCACTCGTAAATAGATCAATGTGTTTGACATTTCTCAAACTTTGGTACACACTGGTATGCAAAAGTTTACATACCACTGTGCGGTCCACTGTGTGGTCCACTGTGTGGTCCGCTGTGTGGTCCACTGTGTGGTCCGCTGTGTGGTCCACTGTGTGGTCCACTGTGTGGTCCGCTGTGTGGTCCGCTGTGTGGTCCACTGTGGGGTCCGCTGTGCGGTCCGCTGTGCGGTCCGCTGTGCGGTCCGCTGTGCGGTCCGCTGTGCGGTCCACTGTGCGGTCCACTGTGTGGTCCACTGTGGGGTCCGCTGTGCGGTCCACTGTGCTGTCCGCTGTGCGGTCCGCTGTGCGGTCCACTGTGCGGTCCGCTGTGCGGTCCGCTGTGCGGTCCGCTGTGCGGTCCACTGTGCGGTCCACTGTGCGGTCCACTGTGCGGTCCACTGTGTGGTCCGCTGTGTCATTGATCAACAACACTGCACAGTTTAGACAAAAGTCTATCAGTTTATGATGATAATAAAAATAATGATCCAGTTTTATACAGTGCTTTTTTGAACACTCGTAGTGGTAATAAACCACTACTGTAGCCACAGCTGCCTTGGGGCACACTGCTCTGTTGTTCCTAGAGGTCTCCCATCGCATTACTAACCAGGACCTGCCCTGCTTAGCTGGCTTTCACATACAGGTATGAGAACAAAATGTCATCATCAGTCAACAAGTCAAATAGTTGGCATCAAGAAGTGTCCTTTGTCTACGAGACGACAACATATTGCAGTCACATGATCAAAATCATAGACTGTACCTACTCAGTCCAATCCTCACGGTGCAGATTCAGCCCATAGGCCTGCTGAAGGTGCAGATTCAGCCCATAGGCAGGCTGAAGGTGCAGATTCAGCCCATAGGCAGGCTGAAGGTGCAGATTCAGCCCATAGGCAGGCTGAAGGTGCAGATTCAGCCCATAGGCAGGCTGAAGGTGCAGATTCAGCCCATAGGCAGGCTGAAGGTGCAGATTCAGCCCATAGGCAGGCTGAAGGTGCAGATTCAGCCCATAGGCAGGCTGAAGGTGCAGATTCAGCCCATAGGCAGGCTGAAGGTGCAGATTCAGCCCATAGGCAGGCTGAAGGTGCAGATTCAGCCCATAGGCAGGCTGAAGGTGCAGATTCAGCCCATAGGCAGGCTGAAGGTGCAGATTCAGCCCATAGGCAGGCTGAAGGTGCAGATTCAGCCCATAGGCCTGCTGAAGGTGCAGATTCAGCCCATAGGCAGGCTGAAGGTGCAGATTCAGCCCATAGGCAGGCTGAAGGTGCAGATTCAGCCCATAGGCACTCTGAAGGTGCAGATTCAGCCCATAGGCAGGCTGAAGGTG